AAAGACAAATTCCAGTTTTTTATAGTTTAACATAATTCATCTTTTCTTAAGGTCGAAGTGGTTCCGGAAACTTTGGAGGTGGTCGTGGAGGTGGTTTTGGTGGGAATGACAACTTTGGTCGTGGAGGAAACTTCAGCGGTCGAGGTACATTTGGTCATAATTTAATTACTTCGTGTGACTTGTATTTTATGCAATCTGATGGCGTGGTCACTATTCCCAAAGTTATATTTTAACCTAAATGTAGTTCTAACTTCTCACTAATCCAAAGTTAAAGTCCTGTGCTTGAAAATTATTTTTGCAGCACAGGAACTACTTCCTAAAATTTATACTTAATAAGGCTGTAATTTGTATGGAATTCATATACTTCAAATCTGCTTTCTTCCAGGTGGCTTTGGTGGTAGCCGTGGTGGTGGTGGATATGGTGGCAGTGGGGATGGCTATAATGGATTTGGTAATGATGGTAAGTTTTGTGGGTTTGTTTATTTAGAAATAAACAGGCAAAAAATTGGGGGTTGTTTGTTTTTGGTGACTTATAGAATAGGTTGGCAGAGACTAAAACTAGTGCATGACAAGCTAAACTCTCACCATAACAGCATGTGAGCAGGCTGTTACCCATTACGCTTAAACAGGTTTTGATTGTTGAATACTTTTGTCTTATTGAGAAGAATTGTATTCTTGTAGGTGGTTATGGAGGAGGCGGCCCTGGTTACTCTGGAGGAAGCAGAGGCTATGGAAGTGGTGGACAGGGTTATGGAAACCAGGGCAGTGGCTATGGCGGGAGTGGCAGCTATGACAGCTATAACAACGGAGGAGGCGGAGGCGGCTTTGGCGGTGGTAGTGGTAGGTATCCAGTGATCCAGGTACTTGGTGCAGTAGCTAGATTAGCCTTGTAGAATTTATGCCCATGTGGGGATTAGATGCATTATGTGGTACACTGCATGGTGTTTTTTTTTTAATGGGCTTGCTGTGCTACCTCCTAGCTTTAAGCTGGGGCCGCCTCACTCCCAAATAGATGAATAAGTGGATAGTGGCATGTTCAGCTGTTTAACTGGAACTAGATTAGCTCTAGTAGGGTTTAGTGTCTTAACTTCTTTGGGACCATAGGCACTTAGTTGATGAATCCAGCATGTGTTTGTAGTGCCCCTGGATGGGTCAAGGACTTCAAGGCATAGAATATGGTCTGTGTTGTCATGGTGAGTTGGGTGAAATTTTAAATACTGGATTATTCAACTGAATGCCTTGCCTGGAAAAGATGAAATACAAAGATAAACATTGGAGCCATCAGAGTTTGGGAGGAAGGCAGGTCATGCAACTTTTTTTTTTTTCTTTTTCCATTTTGAGCACTAGATTTCAGAGCTATTGTCTTTCCTCAGTAATAGATAAAGGTCCTCTTTCCATTCCTAGGAAGCAACTTTGGAGGTGGTGGAAGCTACAATGATTTTGGCAATTACAACAATCAGTCTTCAAATTTTGGACCCATGAAAGGAGGAAACTTTGGAGGCAGGAGCTCTGGTCCCTATGGTGGTGGAGGCCAATACTTTGCCAAACCACGAAACCAAGGTATAGTGAGTGTGGGTGGTGGTGGTGGTAGTAGTAGAGGGCTTAGGTGTCTTTAACTCTTACTGCTAAAGAATACTTTAAGTCTTTAGATGACATTGTGTGAGCTATAATAGCCTGAAAAGTTTTAAGAACACTTAAAGTAAGCGACTGGTGACACAGTCAAATTGAAAATGTCATCTGAGCTGAAACTCACATTTTATTGCCTCAAATATGAAAGTGTTACTACTAGGCACTTCGAAAGTTTAAAGGAACAAACATTATTCTTAGGTGGCTATGGTGGTTCCAGCAGCAGCAGTAGCTATGGCAGTGGCAGAAGGTTTTAATTATGCCAGGTAAGTAAACACCTTTTTGTATTTCAACTTAATTTTTATGATTGAAAATGAACCCAGTAACCCTAATGTAGCTAAGCAGTGCAACGTAGTTAATAATGTAACTGCAGTAAAATTGTGGATATTAAGTTAATATTCAGATCAGCAAAATTTGTGGGAAACAACTTGCTATTGGATTGTAGCCTTAAGTCTTAATATGTTTAGATTAACAACTTTATTCCATATTGTTCAACAGGAAACAAAGCTTAGCAGGAGAGGAGAGCCAGAGAAGTGACAGGGAAGCTACAGGTTACAACAGATTTGTGAACTCAGCCAAGCACAGTGGTGGCAGGGCCTAGCTGCTACAAAGAAGACATGTTTTAGACAATACTCATGTGAATGGGCAAAAAACTCGAGGACTGTACTTGTGACTAATTGTATAACAGGTTATTTTAGTTTCTGTTCTGTGGAAAGTGTAAAGCATTCCAACAAAGGGTTTTTACTGTAGTTTTTTTTTTTTCCTTTTTGCACCCATGCTGTTGATTGCTAAATGTAATAGTCTGATCATGACGCTGAATAAATGTGTCTTTTTTTTTTAAATGTGCTGTGTAAAGTTAGTCTACTCTGAAGCCATCTTGGTAAATTACCCCAACAGTGTGAAGTTAGAATTCCTTCAGGGTGATGCCAGATTCCATTTGAAATTTATTTACAACCTGCTTGGGCACATAATACCATTGTCTTCAGAAACCTTGGTGTAGTTGAATTGATAAGTTACTGTGTTGTGACCTGGAATTCACCATTAAAAGGGTCACCCAAGCAGAGTCATGGAGTTTATTTGGTTACTAATGGTTGTTGGCACATCCTATGCTATATACTAAATTGAATTATGGTACCAGATAAAATTACAGATGGGAATGAAGTTTGTGTATCATCCATTATCATGTGTAATCAATAAACGATTTAATATCCTCTTGAATGGAATGACAACTGTATGGATTTGGGACTGGCAGAGCTTTGGACCTTCCCTACCCACTACCCATGAATGTTGAATGCTTCTGTCACCAATTCAAATTCAAAACTTTGCCAGAGATTAGAAACCAGGTATTGGCTAATGCAGCTCCAAAAATCCACAGATTAGAGGTATTTTGGGAGATGTTTTTAAACTTAACAGAACCAGTAAGAGTTTCTTAATCCTACATTACATTAAAGGAAAACTGCAGTTTACTTTGTTCTGGTTGGGTGGGTTTTTATAGATAGAGATTTAATAGATTTAATCACACTAGTTGCTTATTTGGAGATTAACATTATGGAGATGTTGAGGAACCATACTGCTTTACAAACATGCTAACTGCAGTTTTCCTTTAAACATGGCACAAGATGACATAACCATCCTAAAATGTTAATTGTATAGAAAATGATTTCTAAAGTTAATTTAATATCCAGTGATTGTTTTTTGTATATGGGTTCTTTTGAGCCTTCCCTTTGATACCCTCAATTTCAGTGCCATTGTACCTAACTAGTAGCATAGAGATTTGTTTATCACTAGGATTGTATTTCATCCTATGGGTGTGTTACTTGGAAGTTTGGGGAGGGGAGGGTGGGTGGAAATGAATGGGAGGTGGATGTGGGTGGGAAAGCATGGATGGATAATACAGTTCCATGGGTTTGATACTGGCTGAGTTTGCAATGGCAGGTGGAACCTTAACTATTGAGGGAGTTTGCAGATACCTCAGGATTCCTGACAATGCCTTTAAAGATCCAGGAGAGATGTTCAGCTACTAGGAACTGCTAGCAAGCATAGCGCGAATGACTGCGAGCTCAGACACTCTACAGCTGAGAGTAGACACTTGTGGTATGTGGAGTACAGATAAGCCAGGGGCAGTCCACGACACGCTCCATGAAAGCTAGGAGGGAGTGAAGTTTCAGTGACCATCGCAAGGAAGGAGGCAGACATGAGTAAGGCACACCTGACTCTTAGGACTAGCAGTCAGATCCAGGAGGAAAGGTTTTATTGCTATGCTGGTAGGTAAGAACAGATTTTACTTACATCCATATAGTTATCAAAAATCCAGTTTTCTGTTATATTGTCCTTAATATATATTGAGCCAAAACTAGTCCAGTTAAGCTGAACTTGGTTTTCTGGAGATGGATTATTTTATAAATTGACACCGTAGTCTTAGTGGATCCCGATGGAAGGAAATGAACACTTTATCTCTACTGATAAACTTTTGCCCTTTAATTTTGACCCTTCCTTCCTTTAACCCATTTCCTTAAAACAATGGCTCAAAGTAATGCATTACAATCTTCCCCAAAATGATGGTGGGAGGGTGGGTGGGCCTCTAGTGGGGGGTGGGGGGTTTAGCCTGAGATGGGTCTTGGTCTCAGAAAAGCTAGTTCTAAAGGTTATTTGCTTTTCTAGGGAGGAGTCTGCTACTACAGGTTGTCAACTTTAAAAAAAAAAAGCATCTGTTCAAGATTATGGTTAAAAGGTAAGTTTTTATAAAGTAATAGCAAAGTGCTTGGTATTAACGGAGTAGAGAATGAGCTTGTCTCAGAACCAAAAAGGACTCATAATCTGCTCTCAGAAATATGTTAAAAACAATTGGGCTTGACCCGGCTGGTGTAGCTCAGTGGATTGAGCATGGGCCTGTAAACCAAAAGATTGGGTTTCGATTCCCCATCGGGGCACATGCCTGGGTTGCAGGCCAGTCGCCAAGAGGGGCCAATTCCCAGCAGGGGATGCACCAGAAGCAACCATACATTGATATTTCCTCCTCTCCTTCCCTTCCCTTCTAAAGATAACTAAATTTAAAATTTTATTTAATTGGGTTCAATTAAAGGAAATGGGGATCTTTTGCCTACTTGTATAAATATCTCATAACTTTTTTTTCCCTTCTTGCCAGGAGCATCCTTTTGAGGACGGCCTTTATCTGAGCCACTGTGTACTTCATTTTCACTGCCATGCAGTTTTCATTCAGCTGTGCTGCAGCTTGAGTTTTACTCATTCAGTTTTATGAATGGACTTTTTAAATAAAATGCTTTTAATTTGTTACTGCTTACTTTCTTTTTCTGCTTTCACAATACAGTAAACTTGATACTGAACATTCCAAGTTTGGGAATGAGAAATACAGGAGATAATTACATCCAGGTGTCAGCAAAAGTTTTTTAGCAGGGTCAGTCTAAAGGAGCAGGACCTTAGGAAAGTTTATCTCATCGAATGTACTATTGTTTAGTGGGATCTGAGAAATGGTTCCCACTTGCAGTACTAAGCCCTGTCCCTGTTGGAAGTAAACTGTTAACCTATTTTTTCCACATTTGTACATACCCTTTTTCTAGTTCCCCTGGCAAGAGAAAAACAAATTGAAAAAAGCCAGAGCTACCTACCACTGTCTTCTGAGAGTTGAACCTACTAAGTTCTGGAGGGGCATAGTGGATGTCATCTTTGGTGGACAAGCATGTATGGGCCAGCTATCTTAGGCTTCGAAGAAGTCAAGCCAGGGGAAAGAATATGGGAAGGAGAAGAAATCTTAGTTTCTCAAAGGTGATGAATCCGAAATATTTTTAGAAGCAATTTTAGCAAGCTCATAACTTTCCCCTGCCGTTTTCAGGAGGGAAGGAGGTCACACAGCCTCATTGAGGGGGTTGGTGAGGTATGTGAATCCATAGGTCAGCCACTTTGCTACTTTATCTCCACTTAAGACTAAATGTGGTTTCTCAAAGACTTGGGAAGACAGGACAAGGGCTACCGGAGATTCACTAAATTAGCAATTTATTGAGTTGACAAAGCATTCTTACTGAAAAACTTAATACATCTATTACATTCTGTACTTTGTGAGGGGTGCTTTACAGATACAGTTTACAAGAGGAAGATCATTTCCCTGTTCAAGTTCTTGAAAACTGATACCCTAGTTCATGCTGCAAAACCATGTCCACCTTCTGCCTTAGGTACATGGTCTCCACTGCAGAGCTTATTAGGTGCTTTGTAAATTTTTGTTGACTAAGGGTCTAAATTTGCCTCTGAATTACTTTTGTGAGACTGGCTAGAGTGAATTAGTATGATGTCCCTTAGGTGGACTAATTAAACTGAATAGATAGCGTCAGGCCATGCCTTTTACAGTTTGATCCTACGTTTTTGAGGAAACAAAGTTGACGAGTTGGACAGTCTTCAGATCTACCAGGCATAGAGTAAAAACCTTAAGTTACTTTAAATTCCCTAAACCTGGACAGAAAACCATGTTTTTCAAAATGTATAGGTATGAAGATTCCACATCTCTTTAGATCACTTTTCCTTCTGTTTTTGTTAAAACTGTAGTGTGTTAGCTGAAGCTGGAAGTAAGGTTTCCCGATTGGAATGGAGCTGGTAAAGTCAAATAGAATACATAGAAGCAAAATTCCCCAAATAATGTAGCTTGTGTAATTTAGACCCAGAGAAGACTGGGAACCACACTTCAAAGATACAGAAGTATGGTGTCAGGGAAGTTTAAACTTTGATGTGGCATCTAAAAATTACTCTCAAGAAAATTATGTCAGAAAAGAAAAGTATATGTTTCTATACACACTAGTAGAAGAAGGAAGACACAATGGAAGGCTCTTTCTGTGGAGGGCTTTATATGCCAAAGCTTAAACAAGAGGGGGAGATTGGAGACCTGGGAAACAATTCCAGCCTTCCCTCACCTACTTCCCTCAAGGCAAGCCTCATTAAACACACCTTGACCCAACAAATGTCAGGTTTTTCAATGTAGTCCCCTTAGGGGCCTCAGGGTCCAGGAATACCTTTATCAGAAGGGAATGAAGGAAATCAGCAGGACCACCATGCTGGGCCCCCTCAGTTTGTGGCCTCAATCTTGGTCCCCCTGGGCACCAGGAATATGGCCCCATCAGCAGCCTGTTGCAACACATACTCTTCAGGAGAGTAGTTGTTGCCAGCTTCATCACGCAGGTGCTGGAAAATGTCACAGTACAGCTCGGTCAGCTGTTGGCGCATCACCTCTAGGGTCCGGTCGGCCTCCCCTCGGGCCCTGAGTAGCCGCTCCCGCTCGCTGCTGAGCCTCTCCAGTTCCCGCTCCAGCTGCACGATTGTCTCCAGCTTCCTCTTACGACAGTTCTGGGCAGCCACCTTGTTCTTGCCCCTACGTCGAATGTCCCGGACTAATGCCAGCTGACTTTCTGTTAGCGGGTACCGTGCCAACAGCTCATTAAAGTCATCTACTGGCAAGTTAACAATCTTGTCCGTGGGGAAGGGGATCTTCATGGCCAGGGCCCGACGCTCATCCCGACTCCCTGCCTCCCCCCGTGCAGTGGGCTTGGACCGCACAGGGCCTGAGGAGGGCTGTAAGGCTAAGGGGGTCTCAGCAGGTGGCAAGGCATAGTTGGGGTGGGCCAAGGAGTTGGGCATAAGTGAGTAGGGGTACTCCACCGGGTACATCTCTACATACTCGCTGCGTCGCCGACCAGCCTCTGTCCCCTCCAGCTCAAGAGATTCAGCATCACTATAGTTGAGGGATAATCCTGAGTCAGATTCTGGGTCTTCTTGGGGCTTGGGTGGCCCAGCTGGTAGCCCAATATCCAGGAGGGCTAAGGGATCTGGGAGGGGCTCACTGAGGAGACCTGAGAGGGTCAGTGGCTTTGAGACTGGTATGGCAACGTTACCATAAGAGTATGGAGGGTCTGGGACATGAGCTGAGGTTACTGGGAGCTCATAAGGTGGTGGAGGAAGGGAGAAGCCAGCATCTGGATGGATTGAGCAGGGACAATAAGTTGGGGGTGGTGGGGGTCCAGGGTACAGGGGTGGGGCTGGGGGCTCAAACGATGGCTCACTTGGAGCATTTAGGCCCTGCAAGAAAAGACAAAAAAGTTTGGAGACAGACTGAGGAAGAGGGCCAGCTCTCTCAGGACCACGCTGGGTTCTTCTGAAAGGCCCAGTGAGATAATAACAAGGGAACAGAAAGGTGCTAAAAATCTTTGAAAGCTTCTAGAGTCGCAATGAAGCTATTTCAAGAAGAAAGCTGCTTAAACAGGAATGGAAGTCACTGAGGTCAGAGTTCAGAAAGAACTAGCATTACAACAATCATAGAAACTCCTCCTCAGTAGATCTGACTGGGTTGAAATACCTCATGTTCTTTTATTTCTTTCAGGAAGACAAGGGGTTGTAATCCAAGATGACCCCTCAGAACCCTTTCCTGCTGTGGTTATCTAGGGTCAAAAGGTCAAGTTCAGATCTTGTCTATGCCCTGGGTGCCCAGCAGAGGGAGCTGCTGTGTGGGAGCAGGGTTTAGGACAGATCATGAGGGCCCGGGCATGGTGGCAGGGGAGAGAAAGGGGGCAGGCACAGGGCCAGATCTGGGGGTTAAGAGTCATCTTGGAGAGCTGGCACAAGCTCTACCCTCTACTCTTCAGTCCTTCTGTCCCTTCCCAGGTGCAGAGAGGAGAAAAGAACATGCTAGAAACAGGGCCCCCAACCCACATAGGGGAGCCACCCTGCTCTAGCCCAGCTGGGGACAAAGGCATCATTGTTAGGCCAACAGATACCCCTTTGTCCAACTAGTAGGAGGAGAGGACCCCGGCATTGACTGACCCCCCTTCCTGAGGTCCCTGAAGTACTACTGCTCAGCTACCTGGGGGAAAGGGGCCCAGCTGCTGAGGGCAGGGGGAGAAAATGAAGGAAGAAAATGAGCAGGATTGGAGAAGGAAAGTCAGAAGGGAATAAGGTGAGAAAGGGAATGTGGAGCAGAAGGTGGGGTAGAGAGATGTGAACAGAGTGGCTGCTGAGAGAGATTATACCCCTAATCATTCCTTTCCCCAACATTCCTGTCTCCTGCTCTTCCACACCCCTTCCCCTTAATGTTCTTGTCTAACAACTAGATCTCCCTGCTTCTCCAGCCCTTTCTTTTTCAGTCCTTGGAACATTTCTAGCTTGAGACCCTGAACTCTCCTTGTTCCAGCTGCTGGCCTCAGTGCCAGCTAAACTTCCTGCTCCTCTACCCTTCCCTTCCCCTGCTCCCTCAGTCCTACTCACCTGCAGCTCAGTGATGGACATGATCTCTTGCCACGTTAGTTCCATCTCGCCCAGCTCCGGGGTGGGCAGCTGTGTCACCCTATTCCTGCCCTGCTGGGGAGGACACGGGGGCATCCTACTGGGCCAGGGCCAGGGCCTGGTCCAGGGTCCCCCAAAGCCCGAATGGCCCCAGCAACCTGTGTTGAAGGATAAATGGGAGTTAGGGCTCTCCTGCTAGGGATCAGCAATTTAGTCCTGCCTGCCTCCACAGAGAGGCTCCTTCCAATGTCACCTGATAGAAGGAGAGACCTCATCCCCTCCCACTCATGCTGGACTCATCAACCAACTCCTTAAGCTATTGTAGAAAGTCTTTCTGTGGTGTGATCTCTACCTCACCTGCTATGGCTGTAGTCAGTTCCTTTGGGAGCACATCAGGTCTTTACCTTTTTTTTCAGACACGATACCTTCTCTTTTCCCTACCTCTTTCTCCCCAGAATTGTATCACTGGCTGGGACAGAAGCTATGTCTTCTGGGGGGTTTCCCCCCATTTCCTGGGGCAACATCAGAGATCATGCCTGCTTTCCTCCTCTGTTCTCAGTTTTATGATCTCTGTCTTTTCTTCCCAAGATGAGAGTGAGTGCTTGGGGATCCCCAAGGAGTGCGTTGTGGGAAGAGCCAAGCAGACAGTCCCTCCCCTTCTCTGAGATAGGGCCCAGGCCTGCTGGCTGATAGCAGCCCTGCCCCCTCCTCCTATCCTGGCCCTGGACTCCCCTGTCTTGGCCAGATAAGAAGTTTATCAGCTGCAAGCAGCAGAGGGAGGAATGGTCTCTGGAGTCACTGGACCTCTGCCCTATATCCCCACAGGGTCATCTTGGCCATACCCCAACCCACAGGCAGGGATCTTTCCTCTTCTAAGGTAATACAACAACTGTAACAAAGACTTATTAAGTATTGGTCAAGCACTGTGTTACAAGTATTCGTTTATGAGACTGACTTTCACAAAGATCCTATAGGGTCCATTCAGAAATTGAGACCCAAGCTGGTAAATAGCAGAGTCAGGTCTGGAACCTCTACTGACTGAGACTACCAGCCTATATCACTTTCCAGGCACCTTCTCATCCTGCTCCTCTATCTTCATACCACAAGCCTTTAATGGTGGTCTATATCACTAGTTCTTTCTGTGGGATCTCAGTCTCTTTCCTCCTCTTCTGGAGAATATCTCTTTCAAGCCTTGAATACACATTCCCCTCCAGTCCCTTTCTCTTTTGATCTGGGGTCTAGCTGTAGGTCTGGCGCGAAGTAGCAGTGTGATGTTGGGCAAGTCATCTCACTTCTCTGAGCCTCTGTTTCCTCATTTGTAAAACCAGGGTGTTGGACAAAGTGGAACTTGGAGGTCTCTTTCTGCTCACATGGCTTAACTTTCTCTGTAAAACCTCACCTCTGCCTTCATCTTTTCTCTGTCAGCCTTCTCCTCACCCTACCAACCCTCTTCCCTTGCATCTGTTCTCCCTGCCTTCAGCAAAAAATTCCAAGTAGATTTGGTAGAAACCTCCTGATCTCTTACGGCTAGACACTATACCCTACTCCTGCCATTTAAGTAAAAGCTAAGGTTGGAGAAGAATTATAGAACAAATAGGACGGGATGACCTTGAACTGCATGACCTTAGATTACCACAAGGATGGCCTATCACAGCTTGATATGAAGTCTACTCTGATTTACAACATAATTAGTGAGAACTGCAAATTATCTCTTGAAAGAGGATCTCCCCTACCTCCTACCCCCAACCTCTTGTGCTGTTGCCATCCCCAGAGCTGAGAGGTGGTATAGGCACAGGCCCTTTGCCCAGTGGGCAGAATGGGTGGGGTGTTTATGTCTGTCCAGGATGCCATTTCAACACCGGAACCCCACCCTCCCCCACCCAGGTTCTGGAGGAAATTGCCCAAAGGCAAAGTGAATGGAGAAGGGGTTTATGGGTCAGGGACAATAGCTCTTGCCTCATAGTCCTTTACACACACACACACCTACCCCCACCCTTTGTCCCTCTTTGTATCTTCCGGAATAAGACTCTTAGGTGCAGTACAAAGACCCTGCCCTAGGAGGCAGGATACAGGTTTTCTGGCCTTCCAGATGCATGCGTGGCCTTGGGCAAATTGCTTCACATTCAGTCTCTTCCATTTAATGGAAGAGGACTAGGAATCTTTTTGCTGTGAGAGGCAGTCGATTGTGTCTAGCTCAGGCAGTCACAAACTTTATTGTGTACCACATTCACCCAGGGTACTTGTAAAAAACAGAATCCTGAATGCCAACCCAGACCTACTGAATTTAATTAATAGGTGCAGGTACCTAGCAATTGGCATTTTAACAAATGCTCTGGTGTTTCTGAGGCCAGAGGCCCATTGCACTTTGAGAAATACTACACTAGTCCAACCATATGAATTTACAGGAGAAAACACAAAGCCAGAAAGGAGTCCAGCAAGTGATCTCTAGGCTTCTCTGAGCTTCAGATCCTTGACCCAGGCAACACACAGGTTCTGACTGCCCCAGTATCTGAGACAAGGTATCACCTCCTTCTCATGAAGACATAAGCTCAATCTCCACCTCATCAGAATCCAGTAGGGGCTCAGAGGGAGGCAAGAGGTTGGAGAAGGGGGAGTTGAAGAGAACCTCTGGATCGACTCTAACCAGCTTTCTGATACAGTGGCAAGTTTACACTAGGTCAAAGGAGAGAAGTATGTTTTTCCCTAAACACTCAGCAATGTTCTTCTATATACCAGGCATAGGTCCCTCTGAGTCTTAGGAGCCTACTCTTCTGAGGACCAGCCAGAGGTTTGTCAGCTGATGGTATAAATCAGGGAAAAGGATATAGTCAGAATTGAATCAAAAAGAATGTCACAGAGGGTACAGAAACTAGAGAGATACTGGGAAAGTGGAGCAGGACTTCCTATGTCCCTTTTCTTTTACAATAATCAGTTCCCAGTTCCTGGTTTAGCCCAAACTTTGTGGTCACACAGCCATCTTACTCCTCAATGTTGTGTATCAGGTAGGACTGGAGCCATCTCCAGGAACTATAAATCCATCTTTTATTCCCATCCCAATGGTCCTACCCAGAAAGATCTTATCACAATCCCTGAATACTCACAGAATGACAAGGGGCTTTATGCTTAAGGATGCAGGATGAGAACTGTTTAAAGAGGGATGCTGGGGAGAGGAAGACATTTGGTCTCAATTGCTGCCCCAAGGCTCTAACTGCCTTGACAAGGAGGAGGGGACCCTTTGACTCTGGGACCCTGATTTTTTTTTAATTGAATTTAGAGAGAGGAAGGAAGAGAGAGAGAGGGAGAGAGAAAAAAACATTGATTTGTTGTTCCATTTATTTGTGTATTCACTGGTTGATTCTTGTCTGTGCCCTGACTGGGGATTGAATACAGAACCTTGGCATATAGCCAACTGAGCTACCCGGGTAGGGCCCTGGGACCTTTTTCTGAGGCTTATTAGACCACTCCACCCTTCCAGGTGTCAACAGAAGCAGTGAAAGAATGAAGAAAGATCAGTGAAACTTGGGGTGTGGAGTGGCAGGTGAGCAACCTACTCAGAAAGATTAGGAAGAATCCCCAAAGAGGGAGAGGGACACAGAGATGAGAGAGAAACAAAGAGAATAAGAGGAAAAAGAGAGAGAGATTGAGTTGATCAGAGTGTGGTCCAATCTCCTGGGAACATACATAACTCAAACAGGTGTATTGGAACAAGGAAGAGAGGGACAAGTGTCTGCCATCCTGTCACTTGGTCCTTAGACCCCAAACTGCAGTCTTTTGGGGGCCAATGACTAGAGAGTCCCAGACTCAGCCCCTCTGCTCTTCCACCGCTTCCCAGCCCACTCCCTTCTGCTGCCTGTATTTCCAGCTGGAAGGGGCTATCCTAGGAGTGGGATACCTTTCTTTTCCTTCCAGTTCCAGCTGATCCCTATTGCCCAGAGAAGAAAAAGGGCAAAAAAGGAGGCAAGAACTAGCATTCCTTACTTCTACCACCCCATCTTGCTGCAACAACACTTCTCAGTGATTCAGATATCCGTCCAGTTCCTCAGCCTCCACCAAACCTTCCCAACCATCTGGCCAGAGCAGCATGATGGAAAGGAGAGGAGAAAGGGTGGTACTATTTTTTCCAGGGCAACCAGCCTGCTGAAGGGTTACTCAGGGTCATTCTCCAAGCACTCAGGGGTACCTCAAGAGACCACTGTCTGGCCCCCATACACAGTGTTTTGCCCCAAGAATCCCGAAACATTCTAGAAGCCATCTAGGTCTTCTTACAGAGGAATACCCAAAGATGTCAAATTCCTAAACCAGGTAAGCCTGGAAGGTCTAAGATCTCTTAAGAACATGTGAAAGTTGGGTATTTTCTCCCTCTGCCTCCTCCACCTCCCCAGCCTGTCCCTGAATCCCACTGGAATCTCCCTCCCACCCCGCCCCTCAGGCACCTGTGTCAGGGTCCAAGCAGAGTGCAGAGAAAGATGAGGCTCCGAGTGCTGTCTCTGGGGAGGCAGGGCCTTGGCTGACACCTCCTGGGTAAGGATCCCTGCTACCTCCGAGAACCCGGGAGGTCTGTGCCCCGCCTCCTGACCATTGCTCAGCTCTTAGTGTGGAGGCTCAGACTGATCACAGGGAACTCCAGGGCGGCACACCAGTCTCCTCTGAAGCCCTGGGGCCTGACTTCTTCGTCCTTCCTCCAACCCTCCCCTTTCTCCATGGCCCTCCTCTCCTTCTGCCCCTTCTGGCCAAGAGAGGAAACTTGAGCCCGTGTGGTTTCTGCTCATACCCCACCCCCACCCTGATCCCGGCCAGCAGGGGCACACATGGCTCCAAGCCTCTCTCAGCCCTCCTTTTGAGCCTAGGAATCCAGCCAGGTCTGTGTTTCTCCCATGCAGGTGATGAATTCCAGGCTGATGGTCCACTCCAAAGTGACCTCTAACCTTTATACAAGTTGTAACCTCCTGTCCTCTGCTCTCTTAGGAACAGGGAAACTGAGTCATAGCAAGGTGGAAGGCAGCTGAAGAAAAGGACCAGGTTTCTAGTGTTCCAGCTGTTTAGCCAAGTGGGCATTTAGGGTACTGCTTTTATTTAAGGAAAGCCTGGGTTCTGGTAAAGGAGTAGGGGAGCTATTTTGGGAAGGAGGGACAGCGGGCTGCTTTGATGTATCCTTTCACCTGTAGCCTTTTCCCCTCCCCCTACAGCCTCAGATGTCCCAAGACAAAGGCCTCTTTCTTGGCTAGGTTTGTTGTCAGTATGAGGGGAGTTGGGGGGCGGGGTGGTGGCCAGCAGGGACATTATTCACCTCCCTTAAAGGGGACCCCAGTTGCCCTCTGTCCTTCTTTCTTCCGGGCAAGGCACCCCAGACACATGGACAGGCCAGGACATGTGTGTAGGATATCAGGTCTATCCCCCAGCACCCACGGCAACCCTGTCAGATCAATAAATACCCCCCGTAAGTCATTCATTCTTCCCTTTGCCTTCAACACACGACCCAAGTCCCAAGCCAAACAGATCTCTTTCCAGAGACTAGGAGAAAACAATCTTGCTTCCTCCTAGCTTTTAGTGGAAATTTTTCCTATGTCTAGCTCCAGTACTTACAGCTGCAGCTTACACTTTCTTTCTCTCTCTCTCTTTTTTATGATAGTGTTCAAGTTAAATTGGAAACAGTTAAAGACTGGAGAGGCAGACAGATGCCACCCCATGGCAGGTCTGGCATTCTGCCAGTATTCTCTGATAGAATTGTTGGAGAATTCTAACAATTAAAATAATGAAAATGTTCTGCTGCCCCTACACCAAAAAAAAAAAAGTTCTGCTTCAGTTGATAAAATTAGTTGCTGGGATTCCTCCAAATGTTTCCTACCACTACATCAGCCACCCCAGTTCACTCTCAGGACCCCTGACAACCCAGCAACACACCTAAGCATCTCAAGAGGCAATGCAGTATGCCTCTTTACAGCCTCCCTGCAGACTGTGTGTGGGACCAATCAATGCCCAGGCCAAACCCATGGTTAAATGTTTTGAATTCCTTCCTTACCCCATGAGATCGTGATTCTGCATGTATGATCTATGTAACACAGGAGGTGACTCATGGCTTCATTTCATGTTACATGTGGGTTCAGAATCTTTTGATGACTTGGGCATTAATCTGGGTCATGAACATGCATATTCAGATATAGCTCTCTCACTTGCATACTACTTGGGCACCTCAGAGGCGATTAGGAGTGGCAATAGTCACACTTATGGCTGATTAAATAATGATATCAAGTTACAGCTAGTCAACAAACATTTATTCAGTGAAAACTACCTGTTTGGGACAATGTGGCATGGCAGATAGAACTATGAATAATACAAGCCTCATCATTCATTCATTCATTCATTCATTCAACAAATATTTATTGACTATCTACTATGGTTTACACTCCAAGAACAGAAAGATGAACAAGATGTAGTCTATATCCTCATTCATAATCTAGTAGGGGAATTGCACTAATAAAGGTCTATATAAAGTTATATGGACCTGAATTTCTACCTGGTAAAATTTAGGGAAGACTTCACAGAGGGAGTGACAATTAAGCTGAGCTGTGGAAAATGACTAGGCACAGAGGTGAGAAGGGTATTCCAAGCA